GGAAGGATGGAAGGCTGAGTCAACCCTGAGCCCGTGAGATTTGAACAGCCGACCTGCAGAACTGCAGTCAGCTGAAGTAGCCTGCAGTGCTGCATTTAACCACTGCGCCACCTCGGCTCAAATGAGTCTAATAGGAAACATTAACCCGATGTGTGTGTTTACCACGGTTCAAGTCACCAGTGGTAAATAGATTTTGCTAACTAATCCTGATGGGCTTGATACTTTTAAAAAAAAAGATCACCCAAAGATCTTGTTGCCTTCGGTGCCTGAGTCATGAAGTACAAATCAAAACAAGTTTGCTCACAATCCCTCTCCGTATTGCATGGGGGTAATTATTAAAGCATTCAGCCTTTGCACTGATGATCTTAAAATCTTTATTAATGCTCTAAAGAAGCATAATAGTCAATGAGATACTGCACTCCACAACTGTGGCTGCTTCCATTATTTCCTTATAATGGACAATTCTTCGGTCAATTAATAAACCTAAATACTTCCTTTAAGGCCTCCTCTAGGAAAGCAGGTAGGTAAAATATTAGTTCATTTTTTCCTCTATGGGTAACATAGAAAACCCCCCCCCCCTTACATCAGTGAGTCCCAACCTTTTGGGCACCAGGGACCGGTTTCATGGAGAGAGGGCTTTCTACCGACTGGAGGGGTATGGTTTCGCATGCTGCCTGCTTCCCGTGGATGGGGCTTCCAATTCCCATAGATTGTTTATGTGGCCTGGTTTCTGGCAGGCCACAGCCTGTGGTGCCAATCCACAGACTGGAGGACTGGATCCCTGCCTTCCATGACTGATAGGAACTAAATCAAAGTGGAAACCATTGCTTAAAGACTTACCATCCATGTTCCTGTTGTTGATGTTGGCAATGCTTTCATATTTCAGAGTTTGAATGACTTTCGCCATCATGCCATATTGATTTCTATTGCAATAAGGGGGAAAAAAAGCAATACACAAAGCTTTGTGTAAAGTAACGTGGTGTTGTTTGCAAGCATAGATGTAAACTGTGATCAGGAAGAGGTCGGGGGAATAACCTTATGCAACTTACTTGTACGAGGAAGGCAGGAACAAGTGTTTCTCAGTGCAAATGGCTTCAGATATATGCTTTTTCTTTGTATCCACAGTGTATTGGCAATGTTGGTTGCTGCTTATCAGGGTGGATAAAGGTGCATTCTACAAACAAAATTGGAGTTGAATTAGATTCAAAACCAAAACTACTATAATCCATAAATGTTACTTTCGTGCTGGGAATCATAGAGGAGGGATTTAGAGAGTTGCACCATTTCATCTAGAAATGCTGCATTTTTATACTGTATTGGACTTGCTGACTATTTCCCTCCTTGCTAATCGTTCTAGTACAAATGTGGACGGAGCAAAGGAAGAATGGAACATTCAGTCCTTCTTCTACCCAAACTGGTGGGTCATCTTCAAACAGTATTTGATTATTTACAGTGACCAGAATAACAATTAAGGCTGCCGTCCCTAGAATATGATTTCTATGACGACTTGTTTAGCTTGTCATCTATTTTGGTCAGCCGGTGTGGATTGGAATTGCTTTTGCTGCATTTCCATTTGGATAACAAATATACAGTTAAATGATCTTCCTCCCTTGAAAAAAATCATATAAAATTCCAGTTTAATCCATACCTATCACTATTTATCATTTATATTAGCAACAATTTTAAAAAACTGTGGTGGCCCACCAGTGGAGCTGGCAGCAGATTCAGACAATGAGGAGGTTGGGAAGGAACATGGGCCAGTCCTGGAGTCTGGGGAAGGCTCTGACGAGGGCTCTGTGTCAGAGGCAGAGAGGGGGGCAGAGCCATATGCCTGTTATCAGCTGCCTTCAGAGTCAGACATCAGTGAGGCAGATGAACAGCTGGAGCCTGTTCCCAGTGTGCNTAGCACAACAGAAAATACAAGTTTAGTTTTTTTCCCCTCCCCACCAAGTAATATTAATCTGCAATGTTAAAAGTTGGTATTTTATTTACAAACAATTACCCTCAAGGTCAGGAAGGTGAGGTCTTCATTTCCTGAACATTCGTTGCCAAGCAAAGATGTTACAAAGTTTGCAACATCTGTTAACTCTGGTGTAATTATTTTTTTCTGAGAGTAGAATCTGGAAGATAAGATTGGAAACTTGGAAAGATCTTTCAAAATTTGCAAGATAATTTAATATGTGAAATTCGTAAACCTGCAAGTTCCGCTCCTGGCTGGCCCCTCCTTGCCCACCTGCCCCCCCATCCTGCCCCCCTCCCAGGAGTCTCCACGAGGCCCATTTTGTACAGTGGACAGGTAAGTACAGGGGCTGCGCGGAGGCTCGGGGAGGGTAAAAAACGGGACACCTGGAAGTTTTGGAAGTCCAAAAACGGGCTCATTTCCAGCCTTTGGAGGCCTCTGGAGCCTGAGGGAGGCCGTTTTCTCCCTCCTGGAGGCTCGCAGAAAGCCTCTGGAGCCAAGGGAGGGTGAAAATGTCCCCGCCATAGTGCAGGAGGCCGACTTGGCCATGTCCACCCAGCAACCAGGCAGAGAACCTGTTGCTAAAATTTGGGAAGCCCACCCCCTGGTTAGCATCTTTTAAAGGATGTGCGTTAGGAGGGGGAGAGAATGTATATGTTTCCATCACTGTGTCAAATTAGGCATTTTATAGAATGGGTAGGAAATCTAAAGAATGCCAAAAATGTCATGTCAAAGTATTAAAAAAAACACTTAATGGTTGGCACATCGCATTTTATGCAATGTGAAAAGGCAAACTGTCAAAAGTATAAAATACTCCAGGTAAAATGCAATTCTAGCCTTCCTTGTTGGTCAATATTGGTCTTTTTTCTCCTGTTTTTTTCTCAGTAGAGCCGAGGTGGCGCAGTGGTTAAATGCAGCACTGCAGGCTACTGCTAGATCAGCAGTTCAGCGGTTCAAATCTCACCGGCTCAGGGTTGAC